GCTAACAGTGCATTCATATTGGTCAGACCTTAAAGGTGCAATAAGACAAGTAAAATGTGTAGACTAAATTAATCACAGTAAAATCACATTGAAGGAAGAAATCTTTGAAAGTGTACATTCAAATATAGGAGGAAAAAAAGTTTTAGAAGGATGAAGGGGAAAAAGGAGACAAGGAAGGCATGTAAAGAACTGCCTACCAGGAAAAAACACTAAGGAAAATATCCTGTCTGGGTTTCCTCTTGGTTGGACCTAGTAGGTCCAATCTACTAGGTTGAAAGGAGCCTTGGACTTAGCCAGTACCTACATGCTGGGGCCCCTCAGTGGAGAAGGTGCCAGAAAAAGCTGCAAATCTCAGTTTACAAATGAATCCTCAAATTACTGCCGAAGTTCTTGTAGAATAAATCTTCAAAAGCATTCTCCAGAATGCTCAGGATGCACTTAGCTTTTTGTAGGCTATACAAAGAGGATAAACAACTTTGAGAGGTATGGGTTCCAGATGCTGTACGAGAAACAAAATGGGCAACAACTGAAGAGAAGCATGTATAAATTTCTACATGCCTCAGGATCTCAGGGTTGTAAGAAGCACTAAAGGTTGTCTGTGGGCTACAGTCCTCTGCACCTTATATCTAGACTGAGACCTTTTCATGGACATGGTCTGAATGTGAAAAAACACCCTGTCATCCTACCCTTAGATTTCAAGAGGAGAGCTATTACTGATACCTTACCATGGAGCTCAGATAAAGCCCTGTCTTTCTTGAAGGGGATAGCATGCTGTCAAGGGCTTGCTTTATGTTTCATGTAAGTCCTCACAGAAAAAGCAGGTGATGGTACATAGCTGCAGGACAGTTGTTGCATCCTTTAGTCCAGAGGTAGACCACCCTGCATTTTTGGACCTTGAACTTACACAGATTGGATGGGTCCAGGGAGATGGCCTCACAAAACCACCTAACAATTTTTTCTCAGAAGGAAGCTGATTATTCAGGCATAATCCTTGAAAACATTAGGAACTCTAGGGGGTTTGTTCATTTTGTTGTTAAGGTTTGCTTTTGGTTTTTTTTTTTCATTTGTTTTTGGGGGGTTTTGCAATTGTATTGGATACGTAGCATGAGCCAGAGAGATTTTCCAGAAACAACACAGCTCTTTCACATTCCAGTATATAATTTCTGAAGGGTAGGGCTATGTTGGCAGATTAACAGCTACATGGTACATGACAGCACAGTGAGAAGTCATATCATAACCCAAAGGCTGCATCTTTAGAGAAGAATGGGTAAGCTGCTGTAAGCCAGCTGAGTACAGGTGGATCCATGCTGTCGATATGAGCTACTCCCAGCTCTGACCTTGAGTTTCTTTATTGGAAAAGTCATTTAGCTTCTATTACAGCTGAGTAGGAAGCCAAAAAAAGACATAAGCAACATGGCAAATGAGGGATGGATGGGGGATGGGGACAGGTGAGGAAGGACAAGGTGAACATGATGGTACAGTTGCCACAAAACTGAACCCACCCACTTGTTAGCCAGTTAATTACAAAACCAAACATTTTTATGTTCATATCTCACTCATTGCTTATTTCACTGTACAAGCCATCTGTCTTCAAAAAGAAGTGAATACACAGCCACTCAAAATAAATGTGTTTTCTCCAGGGATTTTACAGTTGTTATCAATAATGCAATATTATATTTGATATGAAATAGATTCTTATGCACAAGATATTACTACCTTTGAATCTAGGTGATCAACATATCAAATTCTAATGCTATCCCGGTGATTAAAACCTACTGTGAGCATTTTACTTGTACCAATAATTTTTAAAATAATATTTTGGATTTACAAATCCCTGAACATTATGGTATGTTAACAAGTACATACTTTTAAGAAAGTGACTGTATTTTCTACTGATTTTGATTTAGCTTGCTACTGTATCCAGGAAAATAATTTTCAGTACACTACCTTAAATTCAGACACATAACAGTTCAAGGGAGCAAAAGAAATTTGTTACACACAGTACAAACTGGTAGAAAACAGCACCTCTGAGAGAGGCCTCTCACAAAAGATTTCCTGATTATCTACAAATCTTTACAATGACCAAAAGAGTATGGCGTAATAAACACTTGAAGAAAAGCACCAAGATCAGTGTTTACAGAGCCATAGTGTTGTCTACTCTCTTATATGGTTCCGAATCATGGGTCATCTACCGCCACCACCTGCGTCTCCTAGAACTCTTCCATCAACGCTGCCTCCGTACAATCCTAAACATCCACTGGTCAGATTATGTGACCAATACATCTGTTCTAGAGCAAGCAGCTGTCACAAGTATCGAGGCCATGTTACTGAGAACGCAGCTGCGATGGGCAGGGCACATCTCAAGGATGAAGGACCACTGCCTCCCTAAGATCCTGCTCTATGGTGAACTTGCCACTGGCTGCCGCATGAGAGGAGCCCCGAAGAAAAGATACAAGGACTCCCTGAAACAACATCTCAGCCTTGGCCATATTGATCACCATAACTGGTCTACTCTGGCCTCAAATCGGGAGGCCTGGAGACACACCATCTATAACGCAGCTGTCTCCTTCGAGAACACACGCAGGATCACTCTCGAGGAAAAAAGGCAACGCAGAAAGAACCGTGTATTGCAGAATATACCACCTAAGGAATCTTTCTGTTGTGCCTTTTGCAATCGGATATGTCTGTCACGTATTGGCCTCATAAGCCACCAGCGTGCCTGTAGCAAATGTGGATAGAGCCTTCCCAAATCTTCGTTCGCGAAGCCTAGCCATGATGATGAAACAATGACCACCAAAAAAACAGGGACAATAAAGCTCAGAAATAACTAAAAATTGCTGATCTCGCCTTCTTTCATATCTATAGAATTTTTACCAATCCTGAGCAGTAGCTCCAAAGGTAACTCCCAGAGAACCTCCAACTCCTATGAACAAAGAGCTAAACATTTATATTAACCATCATTATTTTCACCAATACTACCACAGCACCTGGAAGCCCAGACTGGCACACCATTTTTATGCAAGAGATGGCTACTGAAGTATCATCCTCCAGATCTCTGGTAACAACTTTCTAAAAATTTCTATACATACAAAATATGTAGAACTATTGTTAGACACTAGTACAGTGGTAGGATTGATGACCTTTAAGAAGAAGAAAGATTCTGCACAATGAAGGGCAGGAAGAAAAATGAAGAGAGAAAAACAAAGGGAAAGATATGGATTACATAGTCCTACACTAAAGCAGGCTAGCTTTTCTTTTTTTTTTTCTTGTTTTTTTTCTATATCAATCCAACCTATACCCTGGCTAGCCTGTGCCTATAATACTCTGCTTATTGTAAATCACCCATACAACCCAAGTCTTGTGCCAGACGCAAATTTACTACAGTTCACTACAGCTGGTCCCACAATTGCTGAAATACAAGGAGTTAGAATAGACCAGAATGAGACTCTGACTTTAAAAACAAAGCACTTTAAAGTGTTGTAAGCCATGCTAAAACTTGCAGGAAGTCAATGGAGGAAGGGTTATTAGACATGTAATTCATCATCTGGATGAAGAGATGAATTTGATGTTCAGCATTTTTTCCTCTCATTTATGCAGTAAATATTTAAATGACACAATTCAGTGTAAACACAGTAATTTCTGCTTCAGTTCCATATATCCCAGTGTGTATGCTGTCTCCTATCTCTGTCATCTTCCACTTGAGGGACAGTAAACACACATGGGCAGTTCAGTTCAGCAGCATGAATTTAGTCCCTTCCCATGAGTAAACACTTAAAGCACTGAATCTACATGACCATACATGCTTCAAAGTGGGTTGGCTAAAAGCTAAAGATCAATTCAGTTCTCCAAGGACTAGGATGATATCAACTCTGTAGGAAATATTGCTTTTACACCTAGTCCTGCATGTTCAGGGTCCACTTTGCTGCACTGGCTGTAAAGGCAAGTTCAGTATGGAAAGCCTGAATCCAACTCTCCACTACCCATGTGGGATGGCATGATTTGCCAGGAAAAGACAAGATATACTGCACAATTCTTACAGAAAAAGTTTCTGGACAGTGTAATTTCTATCCCATATAGAACCAATACTCCTACCTCCTTTCAGCCAAGTACTGTGCGTGTTCTGCTCAGAAGCACTAGCTCTTTCAAGCTGTGACTTGTTCTTTTTATCTCAGAGTTCCTTTTTGTCCAGCAATGCCTGCAGTGCTTATTTCTTACTTTTCCAATGCTTTATGCGTATTTTCCCTAAATAAAATCCCTTTTAAGTTAAAATCGCTTCCTCAATGGCTCATTTTTCTAAACTCTGGGAGAAGGCAAACTTCTTCTCCATACCCATCATCTCGGTTTCACATGTATTTCCTGCCAAGCCCAGTAAAATTTTGGCTTCCTCAAACACCTTATCTCCTCACTTCCAAAACCCTGCCCTTGACCACTCACAGGATACGTTCTCCTCTTTGTTGCCCGACAGTGCTTTTCTACTCCTTTCTCCTCTTCAGATATCCCACTGGTATTCGCTTCTTTCTGCCTTTCTGAACACCTTGTAAAATTTGTCATCTCCCGATCTGCACGCCACCTTTCTCTCTGTCACGTCCAGTTTCCCTCTTTATCTCCCACACTGGCCCCCGCCAGCGGTCCCAAACTCCATCTCCAGCACCAGGCGCAGGCGCGCTCTGCGATAGCGCCAGGCGGGATGGGGGCGCCCTCCAGAGGCTCCGGCTGCGCCCTGTCCCGTCCTGCCCTGCCCGACCCAAAAGCCGGGCAGACAGAGCTCAGCCTTGGCGCAGAGGCACTCAGAGGGACCCCCTGCACTTCCCATGGCGGGACGGCGGCACGGGCGGCGCGGGCAACGCGGCCGCTCTCCGGTTGCTGTGTGTCCGCTCGGCGGCTGGGGCGGAGACAGGGAGGGCACAGCTCTCCTCCCGCCCTCTGTTCGGCTTCTCCTCCTCCTCCCCGCTCCCGCCCTCAGTTCCTCCTTCCCTCCCTGCCGCGCCGGCGAGACCGCGAGAGCGGCGCCCGCCCCGCGTCCGCCGCCCCGCCAGGGCGAGGAAAGGAGGCGCAGCCCTTGGGGAGGCAGCTGGATGAAGGCGTGTACCTCAGGGCGGGCTCGGCAGCCCCTCGGGCATGAAGGGGACCGCGGGGACTCTGCCCTGTCCTGCAGCCGAGCGGGGACATCAGGTAACAGCCCCGCACGCCTGCCCGGCCCGGCCCGGCCCGGCCCGGCCCGGCCCGACACGCCTCGAGTGCCGGGAGAGGGCAAGCGTCACCTGGAAAGTTTTCTTGCCGCTGCTGGCCGAGCGGCGAGAGGCGGAGGAGGAAGGCGGGAGGCAGCCCTTCGTGTAGGGTTGCACATCGGTTTGTTCGGCGAGAACCGCTTCGTGCTCCGGCACCTCAGCCGGGTTCCTGAGGCTGTGCTGCTCCCGCCAGGGGTGCGGCGGGGAGGGCTGGGAGGCGGCGCTGGCATCCCGCTGCCCCAGCGGCTCGGAAGCCGTGTCAGCGGCCGTGCCGCGGCAGGCAGAAAGTTTGCAGCGGGGTGAGGGGCGGGAAGGAGGGGAAGAGGATCGGCGCGGGAAAGGGGGCGCAGCCTCTCGCCGTTGCCGTGGGCGGTGGGTGCCGCGCCTTTCCCTCGCAGCGCAGGAGCGGTGCCGGCAGCAGTTGGCTGAACTTGTGTCACTCGGGTGTTTAGTTTAGTAGGATTAAGTATCAGTAGAGGTGTAATGTCGGCGTCTTTAATGGCTACATTTTACTCTTCTGTGAAATTGGCTTACTTCGTTGTGTCAGTTTGGGTATCTTTAGGAAAAACAAACAGCCAAGTCCTACAAGGAGATGCACAGCAGTGCACCTGAGACTCCAGTATGTCTGTTGTGTTGTGTTGTATGACATAACTGTAAATGCAACTGCTGTTCTTTTTGAATCATTCTTCGTTTGGGCTTTTTTTAACTGAACATTTGTGGATTAAGCATAAACTTCTAATAAAATATTTGCATTATCATTAATGCTGTTGGAAATTAAATCCCACTTTAAATGTTTCAGAATTATTTTCTTCCCCCTTTGCTCATAAGGACAGTAAGTCAGATTCATATAGTTTGCTTAGTTCTTCTGAAATCATTTAAGGAATAAAAAGTGAACAGAGTGCCACACAGAGGTTGTAGGTACCTTTGCTACAGAGTGAGGAAAAACAACATTGAACCACCTTAAAGTAAAACAAAAAATCTGTACCTTCAGTAGTCCTCTTCCTTTTTGCAGCCTGAACAAAGAAGTATACACTGCAAACTGCCCTGAGAGTGAAAAGATTCAAGCCATTTCAAATGAAGCCATTTTCCCTTATAGAGAATGTTCTCCACTAACTCCCTGGGTTAATCAGAGATATTCTGCCTTAATTATCAGCTACAGTTCTGTTTTACTTCCAAATTTTCAAATACCGAGGTAATCCCACAATATTTATTGCAAAAGCCAAAGAAAAACCTTAAATGTGATGAACTTCATTTCATTAGATCAGAAAAGTATTCCTTTTGGGTTTGGGGGTTTGTTATTCTGGTTTTTTTTTGGTTTTGTTTATTTAACGATACAACAAATATGGTACCAAATTTAGGGGAGCATTCAAAAGTGGGCTAGATTTAGCAATGTACCTGCAGGTACTGCCTGTAATTGTTGGACATTGAAAAGGCACTGTAGTTAAGGTGATTTTCAGACTGGGACTTTTCTTAATAAGCACATAGTTACAGTCCTTAAGAAGGTCTATCACAGTTAATGACCCAGTGCAGCTCTAAGACTGCTTTATGTATGGTCAGGTTTTTATTCATGGACTTTTATATTGTATTAAGCTGAGAGAGGGCTAAGGACATAGAAGCACAGGCACATATAAAGCTTGAAATGCTTCCCGCTTTTGTGTGTTTTGTTCATTGGTTGGGGTTTTGCCTTTTTTTTTTCCACTGTCAGCTTCAAATATAACATCTCTCTGGGCTTTCATGCAAAAGGCAGATTTTCTTAAACATATAAAACAATTTTCTATTGTAAAGTCTTCTGTAGTTCTTACTTTCTTAAAAAGATAAGGTATGACTAGGGAACTATCATTTTTCTTGACAGCATGACAGTTAAAACTTGGTTTGCATAGGAGCAAGCATGTGTAGTGCTTTAAAAGAAGATGTCATTCTGAACTGTCATTGGTTAACTTTTCAACATTTTTTAATGAAAATGAATGTACTGCTTATAAAATCACTGCTAGAATGTAACTAAAAGGTAAGAATGAATTAACGTCGTGATGTTGGGTCTTATTTAAGATTTTGGGTTATAGTTTTAATATTTACATGCCTATGGATTTAGTACTCAGTTCTGTAAAGAGGTATTTGAATTAATTTTATTCATATCGGGATCTCAGTTAAACTCACAGAAGTCCTATTGATGCAACAGTGCTTAAGCTACACAGAGGTGGAATATGGAATTTCTCTTTTTTAGAATATACTAAAACAAAATGCTTTGTTTGCTAATGAACTTTAGGTTCTGATAATATGTCCAAATTGTATGTAGCTGTTGCTATCAAAAGCTGAGCTTGTGTTGGAAGTCAGGAGATTAAATCTGTGTGTTGAGCAAATGTTCTTTTTACAGTGTGTGAAATCTTAAACAATGAAAATGGCCAAGTGAAGAGCAAGGAAGGCATATAAAGGGGCATTAAGGTGTGGAAGTGTGGGAAGTTAGTCACTAGCTTTTGAAGATAGTGTGCACCTTGGGGATTTTGGGTAAAAGTATACCTGGAGAAACAGCTGAGGTATCTGCTTTTACCTGAAAACTGTAGTTGCTATACAGCTTTTTTCTTGCAGTTCTGTTTGCAGACTTTGTACTGCTGTATTTAAAGGCTTCTCTTGATCCGTGATAGAAAATTTGTTCCTTCATTGTTAAACCCATCTGGTGTGGTTGAAGTAGATAAAATCGTGGTGAAACTAGTTAACTGTGTGTATTGTATCTACAGAAGCAAGAAACTGATACAAAATGGAATCCTATTTACAAGTTCAATGCCCAGGCACTGAGGAGTACATACTATAAACTTATAGAAGGTGAGGGATAGCCTTTGAGAAAGGATTCCTTCTGGTCACCACAAACAGGTAGTATTCCTGCAGAGTGAGCAGAATAAGCTTTAACTTTGCATGCCCATTCTGGATGTTTTTCCCTGTCATCTGTTACATCTCCACTCAGTTTCCTCTCAACTGAAAGACTGCTCATTATTTAATTTTTGCTTTCTTTGTCACCTTTTTTAGACCTCTGGTACTTAATATTTTCTGCTGAATTCCTTTAATTTCTTCTGTATTTCTTAGATAGAGAATGCTCTATAAAAAAAAATACAGCTGTAACTTTACCAACAAGTAAACCATAAAGATTAGCTTACAGTTCAAGGTAATGTATTGTCTTTTATGCAAAGGTATTATATTGCTGATCACTTTTAGCTCATGGTAACTTTCACCACCAAAATACCAGAATAGCTACATGTTATTTGCTCTCATCCTTTATTTTCTTAGTTGATTATTCTTAGGTAAACTGTTTACCTTCTTTAATTACATCTTGATTTTCTCCTAGATCGTGTTTTCAGTTTAATATGATTATTGTGAGTTTTACTCCTGTATATCAAAATTTCTAGCTCTGGCTTCTAGATCTCCTTGGCCTAATGTAATGCTCAGATGTAACTATACTCTGCCTTTTCAATTATTAATGAAGTGATAAACAATATCCACCAGGAGACAATAGGGGAGCCCCTCTTAAGCAAGCTTTGCAGTTTGTCAATGAATTGGTAATAATGAGTCTCTTAATATGGTATTGTAACCTATTTTCTTAATTTAAACCAATACAACGGGTTTCAGTCCATAGGTACTATGTGAGTGTATAAATATGGGTATTACTGTCTTTTTAAAACTATTATGATGTTCAAAGGAGGAGTAGTATGTATTTCATCACAGCTCTAAAGCAAAGAAAATGGTCTTGAGCCTTCTAGTGTAGAAGTTCTTTTTAATACAATAGTTTTCACTGAGCAACCAAATACCTTTTTCTGAATGTCACGCAAAAATACTCCTGGGCAGTGTACCTTGTATCATGTATACTGTTTGTAATTAAAATGCTGTACAAAAACCTTTTGAAAATTAACATGTTAATATAAGTGCTAGTTTTACTTATTAGTTTCTGACAATTATTTATAGTAAGTGACTTTAGTCAGCAAATAATGGGGAATACTATGTCAAATTATTGAAGTGTTTGTTTAACTGCTATGCTTTAGATAATTTCTAAAGGTCAGGCAAGTTTAACATTTGGACGAATTTTTGAAGACAGCAGAGGAAAACTGCAAATAGCGTTTAAAAAACCTGATTCTCTGTTAGGGGTGTATAGCCCTGAAAATCTTAACAATCTTTTCACAAATTGCCATTATGTTAAATTTGATGTTAAACTTACCTGTTTTCTGCCAATATGTGGATGTTTAGATTTAACAGAGTGATTCCGAACATCTGTTATTTTTTTTCCACCTCAGTGAAAAGACTCACTGTGATGCTGCAAATTAATATATTTGTCAATATTGCTAGTAAGTCACATAATACGTATCAGCCTCTGAAACTGAAGAATTACTTTTGAAAACTTCAATATATGTTAGTCATACAAAAGTACCCAAATAATTTCCTTATTTGTGGTTGTGCCTCAAGCATTCACTATTTCTGAGGATATATTTATTATAAACAATTCTGAAAACTTCATAATATCAGGTCTGTAAAACCTGGAGAGACAGCTTCTATTTGTTTTCTAAGAATTGAACTATGGAATTTGGATTTTATATATTGAAAGGCATTGCTGTCTATTATCATTAAAAATACTGTAAAGATGTATTTCTCTATATTGTAGAGAAGTAGATAGCTTTTGGAATAGGAGTTATGAGGAAAACTTTTCAAGATTCAAGAAATTGTACAATGTGTACTGAAAACCCCATTCATTAACCTAAAAATGACAAAAGAGCATATACATAAATTTTTTCTAAACCAAGCAATTAGTTTGATTTCAGAAACAAGGAATTTTTTTACACAACTATCTATCAGTTTTCCCAAAATATTTATTTGTTAATGAGGAATTGTAAGTTAATGCGCAACATTATTAGAGAAAAATGTTGTATGTGAAAAATCATAGCATAGTACTGTTCCCCTGGCTTGATT